TTCCTTCAGCTCTGCATGTCACATTTAATTTCTGGCCAACTTTCAGTTTCTGAATTTCATACCCATCCACCGGCTCTTTGATTTTTGCTGCCACTATTTGGGGAAAAGAAGCAGTCAGTTATGGAACAGGAAATGTTATTTTTCTACAATCTGAAACAATAGGAACTGTAAGCACCTGAAAAGCCAGAGTGAGCAATAGACTGACTATGAGCTGGAGAATTGGGATTATGATCTCCCTCACAAGCTTGGATTCTTTTCCTACATTTTACAAAAGAATAGACCAAACATGTCTTCCCTACCAAGATGTTCTGGCTTGATGCATTATTCTGCTGTGAAATCCACTTTGAAGGGAAAAAAATGAATATCCAGCATTTTTCATTCAACCCAAAAGCTCCCAAATCAATAACTTCATTTTCCAAAACTACATTGTCGAGTAAAAACCCTGTCTGATGGTACATTAACATGTTTGTGTGTAAGTCGGTAAAGATATACAGCATCAAAAGACTTATATCACAACACAATTGAAAACTACTCACTAAACACATTGATGAATGCACTTTGTTCCTTAACTTTGAATCTAGGGTTGCTAGCACGACATGTATATTTTCCTATATGTTGTAGCTTTGGGCGGCAAATCACAAGGTCAGAAGGATTTCTGTCTACCAAAAAGAAGTAGCCAGAGGTCCGTTTCTGACAGGCATCTACATTTCCACCCAACCCTTCTCCTTTCTCATTGATGTGCACTTTTTCTCCATTTCTCTCAAAATACCAATTAAGAGTTGGCTTTGGGTGCCCAGTGGCATTACAGTACAGTTGCACTTGAAAGTCTTCATCTTGAATCGCAGCTTTATCAGGCAACTTGCTAATGTCTGGTGCAACTAATTCTGCAGAAGAAAAATATCACTGCTTAATGATGGATTTTACTTCCCATAGGCTGTGCCTCAAAAAAACAATATAGTAACATGCCCAAGATTTGTATATCATTGCCAATGACTAATTACCCTTCAGTTGTACACCCTTCACCCTGAAGGATAAGGATTTATCACGTTACATAAAAATTGTTCCACTTAGATTTAAATCACACAACAAAACAGGCTCTGAGTCAAAATCTTCCCAGCATGAGGGGCCCTTCATAAGTTGTTAGCTCTCAATGGAGTTTTTTCCTGCCTCCACCTTACACCTCTACAGGCACAAAAAAAATATTTAATGGGTGAAAAGTTTCAAGCTTACGCATATGTACTTGCAAAGCAAAATTTTATCATAGCACAAGAACATAATGGCATCTCCAAACTATAAGGCAATGCAAACAGGTATGTGTGTATGGGTTATTCTGCATTGGATTCAATTCCACTATGACTACAGTGAGATCTGTGGGAATTGCATTCCTGATTTTTTATCTGATTGATAATTTTTACTGCTGAATGCAGCTGTTTTCAGTGGAGACAATCAGTAGGAGGATAGACACTTACACTATGCTCCTCCAAGTGAATTTCAAATTTATCTTAACAAGTTAGGAAATGTGTATACTGAGCAG